TTCAATGGTCGAAATGATTTCGACCATTTCGACCATTTCGGATATCCGAAATGATCCATTTCGACTTCATGTATACTTATAGGCATCCTGCCAGTTCCTTACCAGTTTCTCAACAGTTCTATAATAGTTTCTATGACATCATCATGATGTTATCATATTACCAAGCTGAAACCTAAAATCACCTTCCTAAAAGATCAGCCAAAATTATGATATAATATCAGCCAAAATTAATCACAAATTTACTATATCACTGACACATTTTTTTTTATCACAATTTGGCATTTCAACAAGCAATCAAGCAGGCATAAAGGGTAAGCTTCTTAATATAAAATTGAGAACCTATTCAGACGCAGAAGACTAGCACTCTTAACATAAAACCAAGTAGTATCTAAACAGTTACAGAAGGCTAACAACCCCCAATATAGAATTTAACATCCATTCAGATGCAGAAGATTGATACTAATCGAATAGCTATAAAGCAATAAAAATACTGCAGAATAATAAAAACAAGTAGATAGCTACAAGGTAATAAAAAGGCTACAGAGCACTGAAAACAGTAATGAGATAGCAGTCTAACAGTAACTAGGTAATAGTGTAATACAACTGGATAACACTCTTATAAAAGTGTCATTTAGTGAAACCCATTTTTTTTAGCAAACCTTCTATATTTTTACAAATTTTTCTTTCTTGATTTTTTAAGTTTTATAAAAATTTATTAAATAGAATGTAATTTTATTAATTTGTTTCTTTTTTAAATACATTTATTTAATAATATTTTAATGATTTTTCCTTGTAATTTTTTTTTTAAAAATTAATGATTGTTTAAATATAATAAAATTCTTTTTATTTTTTTCTATTTTTCTGATCATATTATTTCATTTACTTGATTATAATCCTTTTCTTTAATGTTATTAAAAATATATTTAGATTGTAGTAATCAGATTAAGCCCAAAATCAGATTCATTTAATTTTTATTATATAGGAGGTTTGTTAGATAAACTCTTGGCATTTTTTATTAAAATTTTAATTTTTATTGCATTTTAATATTTGATATCATTTTTCTAGTAAACATTACTAAATAATTTTTTTTTAAAAAATTATATTAAAAATTCTATTCAAAGAAAGTTAAATGTTTCTGCTAAAGAGAATAGAGAATAAGCTTTCAAGTTTATGACCTATCTATACTTTTATTTAAAAGAATAATTGTCTGATAATTTATCAAGAATTACAAGAATCTTATCTACTTGTTAGAGATATAAGGCTAAAATAATACAACACTTTTAATACAGGTTATGAAATTATAAATAGAATCAAATAAAGTCCTGAAATTTTATCGGAAAGTTCACAATTTAACATTATTAATCTTTTTTAAAATAAGAAATTATTTATTATGCTTAAATTAAAAAAAAAAATTCTATAATGATAAAAATTCATTCTTCCGTTTATAATATTCATTAAAACGCAAAACCGCGTATTCCATATAATCGAAATCAATATCGGATAGTTGGGCTTGAATCTATTATAAAATTTCTTTAATTTTGAATACTAATAACAAATAATAATATATAAAAAAAAAATTTTAATATTTACCATAGCCCAAAGTCCCCAATAAAAGTGAGAAGCTAATGCAAATTTATTGACTTCCCGATATAATGTAGAAAGCTCATGATCTGTGACATCATCATTGTTTCTCAACACTTCTCCTTTAGCTAATAATACCAAAAAATAATTAACACTGGAAATTTCGTAATAAAAAAAATTCATGAAGTTAAGCCTACCAGAATTAAATGTGTTAAGGTAATGTTTTAACCATTGCAATTGAAATTTTTTATCGGGATATAAACTATAATCACATTCAAACCCGGCGAATTCACAAAAATGATTTCCGATATCAAAACCTCGATAGCTATAGCATCCATATTCGTAATCAATAAACGAAACTTTATCTGTGGTTCCATTATAGATAATGTTAGCATAAAGGAGATCATTATGACAAAATGCAACGGGTGAATTAAGTTTCGTTAATTCCAGTTCCAAATTAATTAGCTAATAAAAAAATTATTTATATCATTTTATTCAACAGACAAATTTATAAAGATACCAAATTATAATAATAATATATAATACCTCTGTATAAAGTTCTTTTGTATTGAAATTTTTTTGGAACTTTTCGTTAGTTTCCGGGTTGACATAAGAAGTTGGCACTAAAAAAGAAATAAAAAAAATATATATAAATGAACGAACTAACGAATAAACGAGTGAATGAAAAATATATATATATTACCTTCTTTAAGCCATTTTTTTAAAGTAACAAACAACTTTGGTTTCTTTTCTCCTACAATATTCACGTTATGCCAAATGGCCAAATGTTCGGCAACCAATGAAGACTTGTATGAATCACTTAAATCAGAAACAGAAAATGCTGTTCCTTCTATAAAACCATATACTAGCCCGTTATTAAAACGCCCGTAAAGAGGTGGTGATAATCCTAGACTCGACAAGGTAACAAGGTTCTTTTTTTTAAAAAAAAAAATAATTAAATTCTGAAAAACACTTTTAAAGAAGTTATATATTGCATCTTACATAAATTTCTTGTTTCCTATCAATTAAAACTTCAGATTTATTACCATAAGCTCGAATTAAGACAGAAAAATTAAGAGCTTTATTGGTACACTTGATAACTAAGATTTTTGAATTATCACTTTAATAAAGGAAAATATCAAAAAAAAAAAAGGGGGGGGAATTTATTTACGTTTATTTGTAATTCCGTCTTTAAATTGCACTAGTTCCAGGTCCTCTTTTTTCCAGTCAGGAAAGATTCTCAAAACGACATGCAAAGAACATCCAAAAAGATTAGATGATTCTACGAAATAATTGAGAGTTTTAACTTCATTTTGTATATGTGCCTCGAGTTGTTCTAAAGAACTAACATCGAATGTGTGATCAAATCCGTTACTAGACATTCGAGATGAGTAAAGAACTCGAAACGACTTTAGGACCGAACTTAAAAGAGAGTTCCGAAATTATTTTTTTCAGGCTCAATTCATATTTGTATCAACTGCAACTTCTGCAATTATTACAACTAATAAACGTTTTTAAATCAAAACATTGATGCACACGTGCCATCGTGTGCCCATTTGTACCACGTGAAATATATAATAAACGAGATATATTATTATTTATTATTTTATATTGTTATTTACATACATGTATATTGTTCGGATTTATTTCTATTAATTATTATCACATCTCTCTTATACCGCGTATAATAGCTTTCAACGCTCTAGCATTTCTCGCCTCTTTTTCATGTTCAGTCTGATTATCCAATGCTCTATCACCCACATCATCTTCAGATGAAATAATTTTTTTGAACGCATATTTCAATATATATACAAAATCGCATTGCGCTGAAATTGCGATATTTGAGCCGTTAGCAGTTAAAGTATCATGTAAGTGAGAAGTTTGTTCAAATTTGGCAGCAACAACTTCTGCACGATCTACAATTCCTCGCGGAACTCCCGCCATACTAGCCACGTTCATTCCGTATGATTTAGGACACACACCAGCTACTAATTTGTAAAGAAAAGTGACTTCCTTTTTTTGTTGGTCCACTTGACAGCTCATGTGTTTGAGAGCGATATTGGGATTCTTGGAAAACTCTTGCGTTAACATGCCGTAATGAGTAGAAAATAATCCCAAACAACCAATGTACGTCGCCAAATAATGTAAGACAGAATAAGCAATGGCATATCCATCAAATGTTGAAGTACCACGGCCTAACTCATCAAGAATGACCATAGATCTTGGAGTCGCTTCATGTAAAATCTTTGAAGTTTCGCTTAATTCTACCATGAAAGTACTTTGTCCTGCTAGAATGTTATCATTTGCGCCAATGCGTGTATAAATTCTATCAAAGGGTGTCATTCGACACCTTTTCGCTGGCACATAACACCCCAATTGTGCCATAATTATCGCTACACAATTCTGTTATAGATGATACACCATTGTAGATTATTCAATGTATAGATATATGAAAAACCAACTTAAATGAATCATAAGCCTCGAACCTGACGCAAGAGTGTAGACTTGCCACCCATGTTAGGACCGGTCAATAATATTATATTTGGCTCATTTCCTCCCAAGGATGTATCATTTGGTATGAAATCTGTTGCGACACTAAACAAAAATAAATATCTATCAGTAACACTTTGAGACAAATTGCGCTCGTAGTCTCAATACATACCCAGTTATGACACAAGGGTGTCTTAGTTCCTCGAATTCCAAGACGTTCGGCCCATCTTGAACAAATTGAGGTCGACATGATGGTTCTGTATATAACAATAGTTAACCAACATCTAACTTTATTCTTCATATATTTGTTAAATAAAATAATAATGACTAACCGCCTAATGCCATTGAACTAGTAGACAAGCTAAGCAAGCAATCGATCTCAGCAATGATTTTAATAGCAGATAACCACTCCTGGTAGTGAACATCAAACTTTTCATAAAATCTTCCTTGTAAAGATTTTAAAATAGTAGATTTAGTTTCAAGTGCCTCCTGAAGGTCTCTTATGAGTTTTTGAAGTGTTGAATTCCAATAACGATTGACTTTCTGAGTACGAGATAACTTTTTCCAATCATGTGGAACTTTTATGTTATTTGGAACTTCAAGCTGATAGATTTCCTTTCCAATATCCTTATATACGACCTTGTCGGACCTAAAAAAAATAATAATAATAATAAGTAAAGAATTTCATAAAGCAATTGCATTTGTTATGAAAGCTTTCTCATACTTCAATAATTTTCTTGTCTCTTTTAAATGATCGTCCAATAACTTCTCAACCACGTCAAGTTTTTGTTGAATTGTATCATGATCCTGTTCAATACCTTGATAAGGTATCAATTTCCCTATTTTTCATAACGTGCGATAAATCTTAAAATTAACTTTTTTTCTGTGCTTTTATATAGATATGGTGTGAAAATCGTTACCCTCTTTTTCGGCTTGATCATGATCGAAAGCTTCCTTAAAATATAACAACATGATAGATAAGTCGGGCACATTCCTAAATAATCCAAGCAATTTGACCGAATGAAATTTTTTTGCATAGGCTCCAAGTTTTGTTACCGCTGACTATTATATTAAAATAATTATTTTAAAATAAAATAAAACAATTAAGATTTTAACAATCTGGTTATTCAAAATGAAACGTTAACATACCATTAATTTTTCAAAAGCGGATAATACGAGCAAGAAGTCTTTTACTTTGCACGTTCCTGCATGAATCCGACTGATTAATCTTTCCAGGTCTGGAAAATGTAAAAAGGTTTCATCAAATAATTCACGAAAATCCGAATGCTTATTTAATTCTTCAATTGCATTCAATCGTTCGTTGATATCTTCTACATTTCGAAGCGGATGACATAACCATTGTTTAAATGTTCTTTTACCTAAAAAATTACCAATAAGAAAAAATGTAAAGGCACAAATAATTAACATAACGCCCATATTAATCAAAAGATTTCCTCACCAAAAGGCGTGACGCAATGATTCAGCAGTTTGAACACAGTTCCTTGATCGGTTCCATCCAAATTATTTTCGAAAATTTCAAGGTTTGCCAAGGTTTGACCGTCGAGAATAAGCGAAGAGCTATGACGAATTGGATCATATAATTTGAAATTTCGTAATGATACTAACTCCTCATCAAGCTTCAACTTTTTTACGCAAAAGAAATTTCATTATCACAAGTTAAGGTAGGTAGTAGGTATTTATCAAAAAAAAAAAAAAAAAAAAAAAATATATTAATAAAATTATATATTAAATTTTCTCGTAATATCTTTTAAAATAATAGACTTACCGAACGTAAATACCAAATTAGTCCTATTATGATTAGAAATTCACATGATTTAAAACAAATTACAATAATGAAAAAAGCGACTTTGATATTAAAGAAATTATACTTACCACCTAATGCGGACAACATCAAAGGCCTGTTCTTAGCTGCTTTAATGGCTTCAGGCCAAATTTCTAATTTCATTGGAAGCAATTTGGTTAATTATATAATATCGTTATAAAATTGTTTAGTAATAAAACAAAGGGTACCTGGGTCATATCCATTATCACCATTTTCCATCGTCTCATCATCGTCGTCATCTTTCCCAGTTAAATTTTGTTTATTGGAAAAATATCGAGAAAACCTAATTTCATCCCAAGTAGCATTTGCATCCCAAAATTCTCTTTCAGGTATGAGTCCAGTCCATATGGGACAATTAATACAGGTTTTTAAAATACGTTGTGAACGTTTATTAAGCATTCCCTATTAGAAAGATTTTAAAATACATAAATCAATTTGCTTATAAAAAAAATTTGATTATTAAGTTCGCAAATACTAACTTTTTCATATACTATTTCTTTTGGTTTCACTTGCATGATTAAAGTTTCGAATTGAGTCCGATCAATGTCATCAACAAATGACACGAGGTTAAATTCGCCAGTCGCCGTATCAACAAAACATATGCCGTAAGCAGGTGGATCGTTTTCGGTTGGACAAGACTCCTGTATATATAATAGTTAACGATTTGATAAATGAACGACGTGTATAAAATATATTTGAATGCAATACTAACTTTAATTGACATGCAATAAGTTGACATTTCATTAGTCAACAGTCCACCATCTACAAGAGTTCCGGCGGTAAGGATAGAAGTTAACTGACGTCTTATAACTTTTTCTTCCTGTAATACATCAAATATTTTTAATTCTTGAATTAAAAACCAAACAGGAAGAGAAAAACGAGCATGAATAAAAAATAATAATAACCTTTTTCTTGGTCGCTTTTTCGCGCATCTCTTTGCCTAGCGCTGTTTCCATTTGGTCAACCCTCGCAACTTTATGACTTTTGTTTTTAATAAATCAAGGAAAGTTATGTAAATATATAAATTTTTCCATTAATAGAAATAATCAGTAAATAAATTTATATACCCTTTTGCAATAAACTGAGCTGCCCAATGTTCAAAAGAAAATTCGGGTACACCGACCATTCGCATATTAACACGGTCCGTAAGTTTAAGATCGAATTCCGTGTGACCTATATCTGCATCACGTTCATATAATTCTAAAAAGTTGAACCAATTAAAATTAATAAGAGAAATGTTATTTAAACGCTTGATAGCAAATAAAGAATAGCCAAAAATTATTACCGTAAAATTTTCCTTTCTTGAAGAATACAACCTAATATTAGAAGATTTATAAAGCACGTTATTAATGTTAATTAACCCTAACATAAAATTGAATCAATGACATAATTCATATCATACGGTATCCCAGTGCTTAGACTTTATTTCCCAGAATTGTTTTTCAAATGGAGTGAACTTGTCCCAAGAAGATTTAGGAATATACAATGTACGTGGGTCGTAATTAGGTGATCCTTTTAATATAGGCAACACAAAAAAAAGTTTAGCTTCACAGACATCGGTAATTAGAACAGTAAGGAAATAATACCTTCGGGATTTCCATCTAAATCGCGAACTTCTTGCAACCAGCTGTATCGGTCATCATTCTTTACTTTAAAATCCGCAGCACGTTGCTTCATAATAAATAATCACTTAGCTAAACTTATTATAATTTGCGTAAAAAAACCTCAATTGATTTGTACCTTTTTTTTCTCGGTATTGCTCATATGAGTTGAAGAAGAGAAGCTTGGGCCACGACGAACGGATGAATTCGAGGCAAATTCCTAAATATAATAATATGAAAACTAAGCAAATGATTTTGTCGATGTAAAAAAAGCCAAAGTTTCAGATCGAACCTTCAGTTTAGAAGCAGATTTTCCATTTTGATCACTATGAGAGAACTTTTTAATCATGCGCGTCGAATTATCTTTCATATCCTCGTCATCACTAGCAACAGGAGCAACATCGTTCATGACTATAAAAATGAGAAGAAAATTGTACATATTGATTGTAGTTCTGCAGAAATCAATTTAGAAAACCGAATGATGTTATACCGGAATCATCGCTTTCATGCTCATAATCGTCATCGTCATTTTTAGCTTTTCTTTGTCGAGGGGAAATTTTCTTTTGAACACGAGATTTCTCTGGCACTTGATTTCATAAATTTTTGATTATTAAAGGGAATATATACATCACGTGCCTTAAAACGAAATAATATCCATACTTGGAGAATCTACAAGATCGAGAATATCATCCGAATCATTATCTTCACCAGACGAAACATAAATTTTACGTTTAACTCTTCGCTACGAAATAAAAAAATTTTATATTTAAATCATTATTTATTTAACGAATTCTTCATAATTATTTAAGTTTACTAAATTTACCCTTAAGACTCTCACTCCGGAGGTTGGTTCCCCAATTTCTTCAGCAGAATTATTTACCGATTCGTTATTAAATTTTTGCACCGTTTTCTCCCGCTGAGACCTAGGAGTTATAGGAGTTAGAGGTAACTCGAGTTCCTCAGAAACTTTTCTTTTACTACTAGAATCTGCTGGAGTAGGTAACTCCTTTTTGAGAAATGAAAGAAGGTTACTCTGTGCTGCAGCTGGCTTTTTATTTTTTATCAAGCTTGCTGAGGTCGATCTTGGTTGACCCTTATTTTCTTTCCTGGTAAAAGGCATATTTTTTTTTTTTTGGCGAAATCTTAAGATTTTGACTGGCTTTCTTCTTTTATATTTATTCGTTAATTATTATTAATAATATTATTATATCTGTCACTACTCTGGAAAAATGCGCGTTATAACAAGAATGTAACGAAGTTAACTGAAAGACTCGTGTTCAAGTCGCGTCGTTTTATGCTCAAATTGAAACAAATGTGTAACCCTTAACATGTGACTTTTATTACTTAAATATCACGGTCGTGATGACTTTATTTAGCATCAAAAATTTAGATTTTTAATTTCAAGAAATCAAAGACCCTTATTAACATTAACTGAACAGCAAAGTCATGTTAAAAGATGCATAAAAGAATTAAGACATCATGGTAAAAAATATGAATAAAAAAAATATAAATTTCCAATTTGAAAGTCTATATTCTCCATGAGATATTTATGAGGTAAATGGAGGAGGAGGAATGATTATAGTAAGGAAAAACGAGAATAAGTAAATAAATAAAACACGACCACAACGTGAATAAATATAAAAGATAAAAAAAAGTCCATGCTTAATAAAAGTCGAATGGGATATTTAATATTTTTGCAGGATTCCAGATATATCTTGTTGCAATAATTCGTTGTTGTCATTTTCTTCTTCTTCAGAATTAATCGCGGGTTGCAACATTGGCTTCTGTCTACCGCGCAATGATCGAGGTACAAAATATTTCGCTATGTTGAATGGCAAAAGAATAATTTGTGTCATACTACGTGAAATAGTCGTTGCCTGTTCTTCTTGTAACTTGTAAGCAATAAATGTATCATATTCTCGTAACTTTGTTTCCAAATAAGCAAATCTTTCCTCTGAATAATTTCGAAGACATTGTTCTTTTTTCTCATATCTTCTCACTGCTTTATTCAATTGTGAAAGAGTAGGTTCGAAATTATCTCTAACATTGATAACGTCTCGTTTCGTAGCGAATCCGCGACGTAATTGAGAGAATTCATATTCTAAATGTTGAACACGTCGTTTCAGCAATTCAACCTCCGTACTTGGATAGTGAACTTGCTCTTGAAGATGCAAAGTTCTATTTTTTGCAAGATTAGTAATATGCATTAAAGGACGAATGCCGGCAGCAAATACAAAAAGGATTATATTGAAATGAGAAATGTATTTGTCATAATCTGTCAGATACATTTTTGCACCATGCAAAGCATATCCTCCAAGAATTGGGGAGACGATCACAAATAATAAAGCCCACATTTCTTGACGACGAAGATCTCTAGTAGCTTGATTTCGTAGTTGTTCTTGGGTAGGATCTTCAGCCTGTTCAGAAAGGTTTTCGTTCACAACACGTCTAGACCTTGCCGCATAATAAAGTTCCCAAGGAACTAAATAATAATGTAATAAAATTAATAAGAATCCATGTAATAAATAATTCAAATATATATATATATATATTTTTACATACCTTTGACAATATTGTAAAGGTAAAATGCAATCAATAGCAATAAAAGGAAATCGCTCCATACATCGGATTTGCCATAAATAAGAGCACCCATTGGTGGTATTACAGCAAAAGCAATGGGCCAACTATAAGCGTGAGAGGAGAATGATTCAGTAGTAGGATCTCTCATCATTTCCGGAGGTCCCGTAGGGATGTCTTGATTATCTGATCTCTCTCGGTGTTGTTTACGATCATTTTTCGATGAATTTATTGATCGGTTTTGAGAATTTGAATTATGTAAATTTGCGATACTAGCCAAAGAAGGAGTCGAACCGTTATGTAAGGACATATCAGAAGCGTCAGCGAAAATAAAATTATCTGAACTTGTTTTATTCTTAGACTTCCTAGCTCGCAAATGTCTATCAGAAACTGATGTCTCTGGGTTTAAATTAAAACCGGAGGTATTTGTTGTCGGGGTTGGAGGCTGTTGCTGACTCACAAATGTTTGTGAGACGGCAATTATCTCTTGGATACTTAAGTCGTCTTCTTTCTCAAGTAAAGACTGTGTTGTTTCGGTAAGTGTCATTAGTTATCGTTAAATATTCCGACTTTGATTCTTGCTATTGAGTTCGAAAGTAACTGATTCGTGAATATTAAATAAAATCTTGAGTAAAGATTTATTGCCTATATGCTGTCTTAAAATAATAAAATGAGTACCTGAATTTTCAAAAAAAAAAAAAGCCCAAATGAAATTATTTTAAAAAAAAAAAAATGTTTCTCAAATGCTAACGTGTTTAACGTAAATCTTACTCTAATTTCATATAAAAAAAGTACTTTATAAATATATACAAATTTTTAATTTATAAAGTGAACTGATCAAGAAACAAAACACAAAGTAATAAAGAAAGAATAGGGGCCCAAATGAGAATGATCATAACCATATTAAGTAAATCCTGTTTTAAAAGGTCATAATTTGTATATGTTCTAATAATTATATACTAGCATTTAAAGAAGTGAAATTCATTAAAAATTAAAATATCGACTTGCATCAGACTTTGTAAACAATTTTCTTTATTATTACCAATATTTTTATTATTATTTTTTCGAAACAATTTCTCCCGCCATTTAAATCGTAATCTGCACCTGGATTATTATCTAATATCGATTAAAATTAGTTCAATGTCAGTGCACAACATCGGGGTAACTTAATTTTCTGAGAATTACAGTATATTTCTCATGCATCAACTAATCAACAAAAAATTCATGTGAATTTAATTATCGCGTCTTGGGAATTTGCATGCGCGCTTTGAATATTTTTTATCTTATAATGTAGGCATAACTTTTTTTTTTGTTTCCGAAAAGTTGGGACACAAACATGTGAAGATAAATTGATATAACAATATTATTATACTAAATATGATAACAAACTTTTTATTAAATGTTATATAACTTCTTTTTAAAGAAATTATTATGGTTGAAGCCAATAAAATTTATGGTAATTTACGAAAAAAAAAAACTTTCATACATTATTTAATTTATTAAATAACAATCGTAATTATTTTAACTTTAATATTTTATTTCTTAGTTTAATAAAGAAGTTAATGTTTATTAATAAAATAAAATAGCATTAACTTAAAAAAACTTTTTGTGTAATTTATTTTTTTACTGATATCCCATGTATAGTATGTATAGTATCCCCCTTTTTTACCCGAAAAAAGTTCCATTTTCTATTGTTCTTATTATTTAGAAATATTTTCTTATACAATTCTTTAAACATATTCTATTTATAATAAAAATTCAAAGTTTATATATAGACTTGGGTTTAAATCTCAACTTAAATTTAAGAACTAAATTTTATTATAAAGCTTAATTATATTCAATGATTTATATATAATAAAGGTTAATTATCTATTAATATTACTAACTCTCCTTATATTATATACTTATTTTAAAATCCACTTTATAAAAATATCTATTTCGAAAATTTACACGTTTTTTTATTTAAAATATAATTTTTAATAATAATTACAATTTAGATTATTTTCTTCAATTATTTTTTTAAATTCTTATAATATTAAAATATTTTATTATTAAGCTAAAAGTATTATTTTTTATTAAATTTATATAATACTAATAATTAGATATGTATTCCTTAGATTGTCTAGCAGGCAAATTTGCTTGCAAAATTAAAAAAAATTGTTAATTTCTTTATAAAATATTAAATATTAATTTTAGTAATATTATTACTATATAAAA